GCAAAACTAATTTTTGATTAGAACTGTCCTTTTCAACATATAGAATTGATCTCCATCATAATCGTTTTTTCACACATGAAGGTTTCTTATTTATCTATAAATATTAGATAGGTTCACAACATAAAACAAATTCTTAATATCCAGTGATTGATCACTCTTCCAGGTTCATAACCCGATGATCAACCTGTAAACAAATTCTTAATATCCAGTGATTGGCCACCCTTTCAGGTTCAAAACCCAATGATCAATCACCAGGTTTACTCCTAGCTCCATGACCTCTAGAAATAATTTCTTACATTCAGTGTCCGCATTGTTTTTCCTTTAAAAAGATCACCACACAGTTCCTCCTTGGCAGCTTCAGTGACGCCAGAAATCCCATCTTCAGTAACTCATACCTTCCTCTGGGAGGACACACTATCTAAGCAGGTAAGAAGAACGACCTATGATGAGGAGGGAACAGGGCACAGTTGACAGTGGACTCTCATGGTCAAACCTGCGACAGTATATGTGCTGCTCTACTTGCTCTATTTCAAAATGAATTGACGGATTTAAAGCCTCACGTTTTGTTTATTTATTATAATCTTTAACAATATACAGTAAAACATTCCTGTTTCCTCTAAAAATCGGAACTGCGGGCCCATGTACTAGAGCACAATTCTCATATCGGGTATTGCGGAGTATGTTGAAAATAAACAAAACACACACACATGGCATGCACATTCTGTGAACATAATACACAGGTTAAAAGATACTTTTTACAAGCAGGACGAACGCGAGTTGACTTTTTGGCATCCACTTAAGATGTCGAGATACGGAAACATAAGATGACAAGAAGTTATCCAAATACTCTATTCACATGAAACTATTGGCAAAGGCTGAGTTTAGCTGGATGTAACTTCGTAACTTGTCCTTTTTTCTGGAAATAACTTTTTCATGATGTCTATTGGAAAGGTATATTACAATTACATAGAGACATGTTGAGAAAGGATAATTGAAGGGTGTGATTGGTAGTAATAACTAATAACTAAGTAATAACTAATAACGCAGATAAAACTGACTTTTTTCACGCTTCTTTCCATGAGGCGCATAGCCATATTCCATTCCTTTTGATAAGTTATTAATTAAAGCTCGTAGATCGTGACTTTGATATTATTAGCTACGAGAAAGTTAATCAACGAGTTAATCTCGTGGAGCATCGGAAATACCCCTTTAATTGAAGTAAAACGGTGCGTGCACAAAACCATTTGTTTCATTCCACCCAAGAATAAGTACTTTGGTAAAAGAAAGGAGAAAAGAAAGAAAGATTGTTAATAAATTACGAACCTGGGACGTGTAAAGCGTAGTGTGATGACCAGTAATGTACTTTCTTCCCGGCGTCAAAATAAAAACAAAGAAAAGAATATTCATTACCTCCAGATAGCAGCATCAATCATCAAGCACAAATAGACAAATAGGACAGTTTTTTCCCGTTCGATCTAGAAAAAAACAAAACCGAAAAGAGAGTGTTTACCAAGCTATCCGTCCCGAAGGCCTTTGAAAAGAGTGTGAAGCTATTTTAAAAACATCCGGGTTGAAATATGAAACGGTTATTTCATATAGAGGTAGAAAATTTCGGTTTAAAAAAAATAGATTAGGTGATGGGTGGTTCACCTCAGTCTTATTCAAATAACACTGTCCTTTCCAAGGTAGTCCGCAATGATATTCAAAAAAAGTTCAAGAGGGAGCCCAAAATTCAAAGATTCACTCGAAGAGACACATTATTCCACTTTATTTCGTCATGACATTACATCAAAACAAAAGTAAAAATTCTATCATACTGATGGCACTCAACCATGTGAGATGGCTGCTCATGTAACCATTCACAATCATGTCTTCCATATGGCTCCAGACTTGCGATATTCGCCGAATGCCGCCGAATATTTTCCAAGTCTCGAGATGATCGTCTTGGCATTCGCCAAATAGTGCGCCTATCTATACACAAATGCGGGGTTTGTACAACCACCCAGTTTGTGCAGAAAAAGCTATACCTATTTGCCAAGTGCCGTGCAAGTCCTCAAATTACTACAAATCGTGATGGTACAATAACAGTGAAACTGTCATTGCTGCAGCTACGGCGGCTGTTTGTGTAGTAGGAAACTCAGTCAAAAATCAATCACTGAGTAATTTTGAGCCATCTTACTTTGCACACATCGAAAACCTCGTTCGTGATTTGGAATAGATCGTTCCAAATTATTGTTTCAGTTTGGTACAGATCGAGAAACTCCAATGTATTGTATTTCTAAACAACAGAAATAACGATATACTATTCTTTCATTAATACTTCTATACTAGTTATAATAATTTATTAGTGAAAATAAATAGCGGTAAATAGAAGTATATGCTTACTGTTGATTGATGATTATAGTTGATTTAGGTACAGTCCAGTTGGTTACTGAATGTGTGGATGCTCTGAATTAGGCTGCTTCATGAATATTTGTGCACTTTGAAGCGGACAAGAAAACCGACAATTAGCCGAGCAAGGTGAACACCCAATATGTCGCTCGGCGAATAACCGACCTCCCATCCCCAGTAGTCGGCATGCGGCGAATCCCGCTTGTCTGAGCCACCTTATAACATCCCGATCCTCGGCACATCACCAGCCGCTCATCGCGCCCTGGACAGGCAAACGTCTGCAGTAACCGTTCTCATCATCCTAGACTGCACAACCTCCATATTTGGTCTATCAAACGCGTTTCGGCATTCCGTCGACGGTGATGGGTTTTTGGATTATAATTATCTTGCATTATATTGTTAGTTACGCAGAATAAAGTCAGCCTCTGCTGGCTCCCAGGAACCATGAGAGTAGAAGGCAACGAGAAAGCGGACACCCTTGCAAGAAAAGGGGCTGCTACATCGCTGATAGGACCCGAACCCTTCTGTGCCATAGGAACCCACACTATTAACGATCCAAGATGGCACATGCAGATTCTGGAAAGAGGCAGAAGAGACACCAACACATCTACTAACAAACTGCGGAGCTACAATAGCCCGCAGGAGGAAATGTTTTGGGATGTATAATGTGACCTTAGAAGAACGTCAACCATTGAAACCGGGCCTATTAATCAAGTTTCTTGATAAAATAGGACTTACCGATGTGCTTTAGGCAGAGCACGGGGGATACAATAGCTCTTAAAGGGCGCAGTATACTATACCCTGAAACTATATCTACATCTACATCTATATAATTTTATTTCTTTGTGAATTTACTATATTTAAATAATCTTCCACTGAGCATGGCACAATGCCTAACATACCGAACTACAAATAAGAACAAGACTACTCATGAAAATGGGTCTGAACAACTCCAGAAATACTTATATGAGCTGACTCTCTGCAGCTTTTACTAAGGCTTCCGATTTTAAAGGGTTTAATAACAGTCACAATTAAAATTAGTTTAGAAAAATTATATTTTTTAATTCTCCAAACGCGTTACTAATCCAATTCTGCCCTTCTTATAAAAGTTTGGGTCCCGGGACATAAAAATAAGTAGCACTAATTTTCCAGCTGTTGGCGATTATCGAACTCCCGATTGCGGATATGATTTACATTGCTAAAAAAAGGCAAAAGTTTTGTTAGTCAGTGAGATGGCGCCAGGTCTGGAGAGTACCGAGGGTGAAGTAGGACTTCCCGACTAAGCTTCATTGTCACTTCTTTGTCTATCTTCGTCACTTTGGGACCAGCAAAAAGTGGGTCTTACAAGCGGATGATCTTTATAAGCGAAGGAAACTAGGTTTTACACAAACTTTATTTTTTCCGTCAATATATATAGACATAGTGTGTCATTCACCTATAAAATAAAGGTAAGTCTTCAAATCGTACATCCATAATCAATTCAAAATTTAAGATGGTTTAAAGAAAGTTGTTACTTTTGTTTGTTTTTTGTTTTTTATTATTAGTGCTTTTGAAAATTGGTCCCGTGCTGGACAGCTCTCCTCAACACCCCTAGAGCCCTTAAAAGTTCTGAATTTGAAGGTGGAACTTCGACTTCATCGGCTCCTCCTCGTCAATATTGTCATCGTTCCTAGCATCCAATGTGCTGCTGCTGGCTTCGTTCATGACGGACTGGCAGATTTGGTCTTCAGAATACGCTTCAGAGATTTGAAGACCGTGGTCGATATCCATCCAATCCTCGTACTTCTTCACAATAAGGTCTTCTGGCGTCTCAATAGGGCAGCTATCTTCCTCCTTCTCCAGCTCTTCATCAATTTTGACCAAACATCCGTGCCGAAAGCAGTTTCGAATGGTCACATCACTAACGTTATTCCACGCGTCCACTGTATTCTATTCACGACAGCAGGTTCTTTCTGTGCCAGGACAAGATGTACTCGTTGCACAATGCCCCTACCCTATTCTACCAAAAACAAAGCAACAACTTTTATTGCTGAATAATTGGTTCGTCGTTTGGTGGCAGCCGCATGTGACTGTTCCGGTTAAAAAAGGTTCAACTTTGTCCGTTGAAATCAGTGAAAAGAGATTGTTTAGACGCTGAAGCTTCCTCATAAAAAATTTATGCTCTGCTTCCACGTCTTCGCAAGTTGGTGTAAGCTGGACCTCGTGGTTTCATCGAGCTACCTATTACAAAAATAATAGCTTACCGGCCTTAATAAAAATTCGCTATTCATTGTATTTAGCCGAAATCCCGTCAATAAATTAATTAAATCATTAAGGAAGACAAGAAATGCAATACTATCTCTTTCAATATGTTTATATAAAATGGCAAACAAATACATAAACACTCATTGTGGGGATAATAAAAATGGGGGGTTAATAAAAAGGATATGTATAATATAAACAAAATTATATATTTACAAAAAGTTCTTATTTTGTGGAACAAACTGAAGTATTATTTACAATGTACGAGAAATTTTCGTTTCCTTGCACAACAGTTCAACAATAAATTTTCAGTGATTAAATTAAAATTAATCAAATGAAATTAGAAATACATATCTTAAATTGCTCACAAAAATGAAAATCTAATATATCCGTCTACCAGTGCACTCCTTTCAGGATTAACCCTTATCTCCTCGTCGAATGTATTTGCGATGATCGTCCTTCTCTTCCACAATCCAGATTCCAATCTTAAGGATAACAAAATAAACTCTATAATAAACACGATTAACGCTTACTAATTACAGATTTGGTTTTGATATAGAGTAACACACAGACCCACTAAACTAGGTTAGGTTTTTTTTATGAGGGTTCGCAATAGCAGAGGTCATCTCAACCCTTGGGGTGCCGGTGTTTTTGAAAAAAAAGCCCATTTGTAAGTATGTCGGGTTCGAATGCAGGGCCACTGGATTCGAACGCGGGACCTTTACCTTACAGTGATGAGCGCCGTGTCAACGCCTAAACGGTTGAGGCCACCGATGCCCCCAACTCGGTTAGTTATTTATCGTACTGAACGAATGTATTTATTAACGTGATCGGTTGAGTGAGTACGTGTATGTGTGGTAGGGGAGCTACAGTACCACACAGACCCAAACCTAGTATAGTTTTATATGTTTTTTTACAGTAATTGTGGGCGACACATCGTCGTGAGCACCTAATCTCTTTATTAAATAACCCCGAGTCTTTAAATCTGGTAAAGTTTGCGATGGAAGCCTGGAACTACAGGAAAATGCTTGTTTTTATTTCAATTGTTAAATGTTTAGTGTATATATCATAGACACCCTGGTAATTTATATGTGCATAAATAGATATGTTGTTATTTTAGTTTACTTATATAGTTTTTTTTTCTCTTTCTTTTATTTATTCCTTAAGAAGAAATGTGTTTCTTGTTTATTAAAAATGAATAGTCCGACTCCGGCAGACGATTGATAACCATTGCCGTTATGTGCTTTTTGGTTATGTACAATTTTTTTTTCTTTTACTCTCTTTTGTTTATCTAATAAAGTACTTTTTCATTCATTCATTCACATCGTCGTGAAAACCCGGTGCCTTCCAAATTTTTAATTGTACATAACTTAGTACGAATGTTTATATATTATTATATGTGTGAATGTATTTATTAGGGCGAATAATGGCGGTCCGTCAGCGGAATACCCAATACCCTGAGCACCACAAACTTTGGTTAGGCAACAATGTATGTACGTGTGTGCATGAGTTATAGACCCTTTAAAGCATGTGTGAAAAGGCTAATAAAAAATGATAATATTGTCAGAAGTTCAATAACGTAAGATCGCCAGGCCCCCATAGTATGGTATGGTATGGTGGAAAAGGTTATTAGGAAGCGGGTTTGTATTCCCCAGGAACTGCAGCCTTCCGGCTTAATGTACCTTCCTAGTTCTTTAGTTCAGTCAATATACTCAATCCTTCTTCTTAGAAGTATCGTCATTGACTGTTGCTGCTGCAATTTGATTCCCTAAGTCTTTTCCGTACGTTAGGTTAAACGTCCTTTGAGCTGTTGCTTCGCATTCGAAGATGATATGAGTGGCTGTTTCCTCCTCCTCATTACATAATCTGTAAATGGGAGCATCGCTGTACATACCCATATATACAGGCCATACGCCAGGCCAGCATACTTTATCCAGCCAAATTCTGTCAATAAATAACGTTATCTCCACACGCGAGGTGCCGGGGGGAAAAATTCACACGCATGACGCAGGCAAACAAACACACTGACAGCTGCCTAGTTAGACACCTGACTAGTTCATTGAAACACAAGCATACAAATGCACGTGCCCATACATACATACACAAACAACAAACACACAATCACACGATGCTTGTACTCAAACGAACACGCGCCTACATCCACAATTAGAACACAGTAACAAACAAATACCCTAACACCAGAAGGAGCAGGCCGCATTAAGAAGGAAAAATAGCGTAATTTGGTTAATAAAAATTAAGATACAATAAAAAGACTCCTAGACTATTGTCTCATTCAAATTTACAAATATGGACAGGTAACCTCCAGTCATCCTGTGAAAATATCGACTATCAGACCCGGATGAACCAATTTAATTAGGACCTGTAAACTATGATGTGATTTAGCAGGTTTTTTGTTTTTACCGACACCGGAGGCACATTTGGATCATAATACCACAAACGTCTGGAATAAGAATATGTTTCACCCATATTTAATACCGAACTTATATAAATAGGAGCGAAAGACAGAGGTAGAAATAATTTGTAAACAAAGTAAGTAATACCTCTTGTTATGATAATTTCCTTTGAAGCCAAAGAACAGTAAGAAAAGAAAACATTTCTTAGGTTTATTTGTGTTGGAAATTTTCTATTTTAGTCAACTGTTAGAAGAGGTCACCATAGGTCTTCGAAAGCACGGCGGTCTTTTAATATTCATAATACATATGTGAAGTCTTCTGTCAGTGTGATAAGCTTTTCGACGAATAAAGGATTTCTAATATAAGATATTTCTATCTGTATATCTTGGTTTCTGAAATACATCCTTCGAGCGTCATGGGTGTCTATCAGCTTTGACATCCTGTTAGACGCCGATCTTGTCCTGTTCGTTTGTCCGGCTAATTATCTCCTGGTCCCCTGTGACCATCCAAGCATAGGAAGCAAGCAGGGGCGAACTTATTTATCGAAAAATAAAAGAGTTTGCGCGGGCGAGTCCTGTCATTTAAACACGGCCCTCTCCTCTTATTTTAAGGAGGGGAGATTTCTCTTAGCGAGTCAGTTCGCTTCAGTCTGTCATCTATGGAGAAAGGAAGGCCCCTCGATCTCATCCTCTACGTTATTATCACCGCAACTGGTATGTATTACAATTTTTTATTTATCCTCTTACAACTTTAACTTGCATTAGAGATTTTTTGTCGGTTCTTGAATTTCTTATTATTTATCTAATTTTTTTCAACAATAGTAGAACATTTTTGTATAGGATGAGCTCTTCTGTCAGACTCAATGTTTTAGGAGAGAGAATATTTTTACAACGTTCTTAAAGACGGCGTATCTGCATTATTGGAGGTAGACCGGCAGGAGTCACGCGAAGTGGCGTCCCATGCAACAAAGAATGAAACCTCCGCGAATCGCGAACTGTCACACTCGACCAACGCCTGACAATAGTTTTCTGCGGCTTGTTTAAAAAGACATATCAAATTTTTATTTTTCAATAAACAGCAAAAAACTTAACAAAATAAAACTCATTTTTTTCAAATTACAATAATTTATTAGGAATAAAACATGCGATTTTTCAATAAATTAATATCGACACAATGGCGTTCAATAAATGTACAGTATTTAAGATCTAATTACTACGAAATGAAAAATTGTAAAAATAAATGGATTTCCTTTTGTTTTTAAAAGTAGCAATTCCCTCAAATCACCAGTATCAAAGGTAAAAAATTAAAGTTTGTTTAAATTAAATTAAAGATATCCATATCGATAGCGTTCGTAAATGACATATTATTTCTTGGGACTGTTGTCTCGATCTTTCCTCATGTGGAATGAAAAATTTTAAGAATAAATTGAATTCCTGTTGTTTTTGAAATTAGCAATTCCCTCAAACAGGCAGTATGAAATGTCAAAAATTGAAGTTTGTCATGATATCAATATCGATAGCTTACGTAAATGACATATTATTTCTTGGGACTGTTGTCTCGATCTTTCCTCATGTGGAAAGAAAAATTTGAAAAATAAATAGAATTCCTATTGTTTTTCAAATTAGCAATTTCCTCAAACAGGCATTATGAAAGGTCAAAAATTGAATTTTGTTATGATCCGATATCGATGACGTTGGTAAATGACAATACGAGATCTTGGTACTGTTGTGTCGATCTTTCCTCATGCAAGATGAAAAATTTGATAAATAAATTGAATTTCTTTTGTTTTTGAATTTAGCACTTCCCTCAAACAGGCAGTTAAAAAACTGAATTTTGTCATGATAACAATATTGATGGCGTTCATAAATGGCACTACTTGGTACTCTTTTGTCGATCTTTCCTCATGCAGGATAAAAAATTTGATAAATAAATTCAATTTTTGTTTTGTTTTTGAATTTAGCCATTCTCTCATGTAGCCAGTATCAAATGTAAAAAATTGAATTTTGTCATGATCCGATTTATTTTGCCAAGATCCGATATCGATGACTTTGGTAAATGACACTACGAGATCTTGGTACTGTTGTGTCGATCTTTCGTCATGTAGTGAGATAAATTTGAAAAATAAATTGAATTGCTTTAGTTTTTGAATTTAGAAATTCAAGATTCGATCCGATATCGAAGGCGTTCGTAAATGACATATTATTTCTTGGGACTGTTGTCTCGATCTTTCCTCATGTGGAATGAAAAATTTTAAGAATAAATTGAATTCGTATTGTTTTTGAAATTAGCAATTCCCTCAAACAGCCAGTACAAAAGGTAAAAAATTGAATTTTGTCTTGATATCAATATCTATGGTGTTCGTAAATGACATATTATTTCTTGGGGCTGTGGTCTCAATCTTTCCTCACGCAGGATGAAAAATTTGATAAATAAATTGAATTTCTTTTGTTTTCGAATTTAGCACTTCCCTCAAACAGGCAGTATGAATGGTAAAAAACTCAATTTTGTCATGATATCAATATCGATGACGTTCTTAAATGACACCATTACAGTTAAGAATTCTTTCACCGTGGTCAGTATCGAAGTTCAGAGTACATGACCAAACCTTGTGAAAAGTATTGTAAAATCGACCCGAATTTCGGTTCGAAAAAGGGAGGCCTGAAGAGTAAGGCCTGAAACGTTGACCGCCTTACTCTTTCTGCACGTTTTACATTAAACAAAAAGCTTAGGAAAAGTAAGAAAAAATCCGCGCTTATCAGATATGCTTTCTTTTCAAAAGCGACGGTTGTAAAGTACTCTATCGTGTTACACGGCAATAAAACAAGAATAAGTATTAAGCAGTAGTACGACGCGATTTTATGGACTTTAAACATTGAAATTGTGTGTCGATAAAACATTTCCCTGTCAGAGCCGGAAACACATTTATTATTTCAGTGTCTTTTATTGTATTTCACTAGTCGCTCCCTCAAAAATGTAATGAAAAAACAACCATAAACGCTTTCTACATAAATACATAAAGAGGTAATCATAATACGTTAGTAGAAATGTTTATTAATAACTAAGGATGTTAT